CTGGTCGAGCAGCGCGGGCACGGCTGTCGCGATGTCCGCGAGCGGGAGCGGCGCCTTTGCGCCCGTGTCGCGCCGTGCGCTGAGCGTCTGCTGCTTCGCGAGGTCTGCGGGGCCGATCTCGAGACGGAGCGGGACACCCTGTGGTGGAGTGCGCGTGAGTAGGGAAACACCTACGAGCCACGGACGATACGTACCTTCTGCTCCCAGTCGTTGAACTTGAAGCCAGGGGTGTATCCCTCACGAAGATCCGCACGCGCGCGGATGCCCGCCTTCTTGAGGGTGTCAGCGAGCTCCTCAGCGGCGGTGTTGACCGCCTTGCGCTGCTCCTCAGTCGACTTCGCGGTGATACCGCAGGGGACGACGACGACCTGGACGGACGCGACACGGGGCGGCAGGACGAGGCCCTGGTTGTCGCCGTGGATCATGACCATGACGCCGATCGTGCGCGTCGAGAGACCCCACGAGTTCTGCCAGACGTACGCCTTGCCCTGGCCCGAGGGGTCGTTCGGGTCCTCGACGAAGATGTTGAACATCTCCGGGCGCGAGAAGTTCTGGCCCAGGCAGTGCGATGTTGCGCCCTGGATGCCACGCCCGGTCGTAGGCACGAAGCCCTCGACGGTGGTGGTGTAGAGGCCACCCGCGAACTTCTCCTTCTCGGACTTGACACCGGGGATAACGGGCACGGCGAGGAGCTCCTCGTACACGCGGCGGTAGAGCTCGAGGATCTCGAGCACCTCCTTGTCAGCCTCGGCTTTCGTGAGGTGCGCGGTGTGGCCCTCTTGCCAAAGGAACTCGCGGGTACGGAGGAATGGTTCTGGAGATACCGTGAGCAATAGCCCGCCCAAAAGACATGAACTACTTACGGGGGTTCTTGAATTCCCAGCGGACGACGCTGTTCCACTGGTTCAGCTTGAGGGGAAGGTCACGGTGGCTTTGAATCCACTTGGCGTAGTCTGCGCAGCTATGTCAGACACCGCACGTCACTGGCACGATAGGGTGTAACGTACAGGGGTACATGACAGTTTCGGAGGTGGGACGGATGGCGATGGGCTCTTCGAGATCAGAGGTACCTCTGTAGAGGCGTAAGCATTGTCCGCGGGGCATTTGCTTGATATCACCTACGCTCTTGTGACCCAAGCAACTTCGGGAGAGAAGCCCTCGACGTGATCCTTCTCGCGCTCAAGAACCTTGGACGAGACGAACATGGGGAAGTACGCGTTCTGCACGCCCATCGCTCTAATGTGGCCATTGAACCAATCTGCACGGCGTGTCGGATACACAATCTCCGGGGAAGAAATGCAAGAAGCACGTACCTTGGATGGTCTCCCAGATGCTGTACGACCAGGGGCGGAGGATGTAGCATCCGCTGACGTTGTAGTAGTCGAGCATGTCCGCCTTGATGAGTACGTTCGTGTACCACGTCGGGAAGTCGACCTCCTTCTTGACGCCGATAGCGATCTGCACCGCGCCCTCAATCTTCGCGTCCTGCTTGCCCGCCGCGGGCTTCGACGCGGCCGCGACGCCCTCCGCGGCGGCCTGGAGGCCGGCGATCTCGAGCTCATGCAGCTTCGGGGCGCCCTCGGTGGCGAATTGTTTCACGTATGCGTACAGGTCCTTGCCGGAGAGGAAGACGGTGGAGTCGGAGGAGAGGCCGCGAACGGCGAATGTTGATGTCGAGTCCGCGATGGTGGAGTCGATCACCGTGGTGAGTTTGGGGTACGTTTGAGAGTTGAGGGCGAGGGGGGAGACTGTTTACACAAGGGTCAGCATATGCAGCCAAGATACCGCAGGCACGGTAGACTGGTACAGGACCCTCGCGCTATGCCTAGACAGCCTGTGCAGGCACCGACTCCATCATCATAATGACTGTACTCACGAGAGTTTTTGTCAAGCGAGAAGAACTCCTTGAGCAGATCCTCGGACGCAAGCCGGAGGTCCTTCAAGTTCAGGACCTTGCCCAGCGCGCCCGAGGGCACATCGGACGTTTCCCGCGCGATCACAAACACAGGCACAGGCGTCGCGGTCTTCGCGGTCTTGGGCTTGTACACGAGGGTCTTGACGAGCTCGAACGGCTTCGGGGCGGACGCGCTCGCCTCGAGGGCCTCGCGCCAGGACTGGGGCGAGTTCGTCGGCGCGTGCGAGACCGTCGCGGCGGGTTTGATGGAGAGCTTGGCGAGCGCGTCGGTGACGGCGTCGAGCGAGGCCATCGTGGCAGGCGAGTGCGAGTGGAGGGAGCGAGAGTGTGTGTGGAGAAGACGACGCGGAGGACTGGACGGACGGCGTGAGGAGGTGCAGAGCTCGGCGCTTTTGCAGATTGACTCGACCGTTTTGGAGGGCGGAGATGTTATCAGATGCTGCGATAGAACGTGGACAGCCCGCGCGGGACGAGCTCGGGGCACCCGCCGCACGACCACCGCCCTCGACGGCAGCATTCGACCAGACAGGAGACGCAGGAGACGGAGAGGTGACGCGACGCCAGAACGCGTCCCGCCCGCGCCCGCCCAGGTCAACGCGATCGAGGCGCTCGTCCTCGCTGATCTACCCGAGCCCGCACCCGCGCACACACACTCCCAACTCTCCGGAAAACACTGCAATGTATACACAGACAAGCGCATGCTGGTGCCCATATAGCGGCTGCCCCAGACATTAATATCTACCTCCGATCCGGTTCGTACATGGTGTCGACTGCGTGTCCGTGCGAGAGGCGACGAAAGGGAGGTGGTATATGTATCGTACAACCGAGCTCAGATCGGCCAGTAAATTCGTGCATAGATCGTGACGTTCATGCCTTCGGGCCCTCCTCCGGGGTGGACGCGCTCTCATCTTCTAGCTTGTGCTCCGCAGGCTCCTTGAGCTCCTCCTCGACCGCCTTCCGGCCCTCTTCAGTGAGCTTCGGTAGACCCGAGGAGATATCGGCCTCAAAGTAGCGGGGAACAAATCTAAAGGCCGCCATGCTCAGCCTTGGTAGTCCTCAATCAAGACAACCATCCACTCACTTGATCCCCTTGCGTTTGCGCTCCGCGGCCTCGTCCCGCTGCTTCTGCTCTATGGCGAGCTTGTGCTTCGTCGCCTCACTGTACTCCTTCTTCAGCAGCCTACTCGTCACGTTCTCCCACAACTTTCGGCTCTCGTTCGGCAGCTGCTTCTCCAGAGGTCGCACCGTCTTCGGGACGACATGCAACGTCGAGAGATCAATGAGCGTCGCGTACTCGCTTTCGGGGGCATCGACGCGCTTCCACCGGATCTTGCTCCGCCACGAGCCATCGAACACAGCAAGGATACGGTCGTGCGGGACGTGCTTGATCCGCGTCCACTCCTCGTGCACGTTCTCCTTCGGGTCGTACGTATGGATGATGCCCTCGACCGCGAACTGCGCCCGGCCCAACCACGACTGCTCCTTGTACTCGATGATCGCCCGCAACTTCTCGCCGTCCTTCCCGCCCGAACAAGTGATGATCGTCGTCTCCCCGACGGTCACGTAGAAGCTCCCGCGGAGGAGGCCGTTCACGGACGCGACCGGGTGCGTGATGTGGTACTGCTCGCCCTCGCCGGGCGGGCCGGTGATCGTCACGAAGATGCCCTTGTTGAACGCGCCGGGCATGACGCGGAGCGTCGTCCCGGATACCTTCGCCGAGATCTGGTCGATGCCCGCGAGCTCGACGTGCCGGCTCGGGCAGACGGCGTAGAACGCAGACACGGGCGGGTGGTGCGAGACCTGCTCGGTGAGGTACGTGATCCGCACCCTCGGCTTGTCTGCGGCCGTCTCGTCCGTCTCGAGCAGGTCCACTGCGCCCGATGACCGGTCGTTCGCAAGGCTCAGGCTCGACATCCCCGCCTCGAGGTTCGTCTCGGGGAGCTCGGGCGAGGTTGCGGGCGTGGACTTGGTCGTCGCGGCGCGGGACATGAAGCTGAACCCGCTGAACGTGCTCTTGTTGCTCTTGCCGCTCTTGATGCTTGCGCTCTCCGAGAACGATGGGTGTGCAACGTCCGGCATAGAGTGTATTGCGGCTGCGTTGGCGAACGCCGCATTCGGGTCCTCGGAGCCTGGAGGCGAGACGTAGAGGTGGTGGATTGGGGGCTCGTTGGGGTCCGAAGGGTACGATACGGGGATAACATCCCAGTGGGAGCGGAAGTGCTCTCCGAGCACCGAGTTGTAGGGCTTGCACACCTTTCCTTTCTGCACAACCAATCAGCACGTGCATACGTACAACATATGGCGGATAACGGCTCGAACGCATATGGCACACCATACTGGAGTCGCCATAACACACCAGCGCCATTCGAAAGGAGAAGCGTGACACTCACAATGAACTTGAGATCCTTCGAGAAGGTGAATCGCAGTACGGCCAGCATACGCTCGAAGGGGTCGTCCGAATCATTGATACTGTGTGCACATCAATCAGCACACACACAACATGGTCTTCCTCCATACTTACGCAGCAAAAAGATCCGGTCTGTCGAGGTACTGCCAGTACTCGAGGTTGGGAATGGGCTCGAGCAACGACGCCGGGAGCGAAAGACGCCTGGGGACACGGGGTCAGTCTGTAGGAGAGTATGATAGGCATAGCGCATACATCGCCGCGATGTCCTTCACCCCGAGACACTTCTTGACAAGCTGGACGATCATCTTCAGCTTCCCGCTCTCGCCCGTGTCACTCGTGTCGGGGACCGATATTGGCTGGCCCGGTGCATCCTCGTCGAGGGCTGCGGCACTGACGTCGTGCTTGTCTAGAGAGGCCATGGAAGGAATGCGTTCGGGGGGCGTGATACGAGTCGTCGAAGGGGGCCAAAAAGGAGAGCTGCCGGGACGTAAAGCAAGGTGATGGAGATGCGAAACAAGACGGAGAGACAAAGAACGTGTGCGACTGCAAGCGGGTCCCCAGCCGAGCACCTAAGTATATGGTCTTGGGCGCTTCCGAGTGCTATGAGGCCTGTGCCGTTGCTTGGCCGCTGCGCTTGCCCCGCCACGGCGCTCCGTAACAGGGCAGCCAGTCAAAAAGTGGTTCGACCCGGGTTCGAACCGGAGACCTCCTGTGTCCTCACCTGCCCAGTCGAGCAGATTGTGTGAGACAGACGTGATAACCAACTACACCATCGAACCTTGTGAAGGTAATAACTAATTACATCATGTTGGGTCAGTGTCTATGGTGCCTCGCCTAATCACCACGCGCACTGCGAACGCGGGTGTTTTGTGAACCATGACATGACACGCGCCTGCAACTGTTGGCAGTTGTATCGCCCGGCACTCGAAGACAACGTGGAATCAAAGCCCTTTGTGGCATAGATAGCCGCATAACATTTCCCTACCCTCGGAATGGGGATTAGCATAGCGTACGAGGAGATACCCCACAGCCCGCCGCTGCCTGCTCACGCCGTGCCTCTAGGATGGTATGTGACTTCTTCCACCCCGGCGTGGGCGGTGTGGAAAACCACATATATATGCTGGGTGCTGATCTCATCCGACGCGGACATAAGGCGAGCTCCCTACAATCCTCACGAACATCCTGATGTTGACGCGAGTAAACCAGGTCATAATCATAACACATAGCCATCCGCCCGACCGTGTTGGCGTACGATGGCTGTTACCGGCATTAAAGGTGTACTACATTCCGTTCCCAACCATCGCATCGTCAGCAACCCTGCCGAACTATTTCACCTTCCTGCCTTACCTGCGGACGATCATTCTCCGGGAGAAAATACAGCTCATACACGGCCACGCCGGCCTATCCTCTCTGGCACAGGAGGGGATCCTACACGCCCACCACATGGGTGTAAGGACTGTCTTCACGGACCACAGCTTGTTTGGCTTCGACGACGCTGCTAGTATTCTCACAAACAAGCTATTGGAAGCTGCACTGCGCAACGTAGATGCCGCTATCTGTGTATCCCACACCGGGTACGATGGGAGCATCACAACGGGCGGCGTCTTACTAACATTACCCTCCAGACGGGAAAATACTGTGCTGCGGTCACGACTACCTCCTGAATTAGTCTACGTCATACCCAACGCCCTCGTAGCCGACCAGTTCAAGCCTTCGCCGTCTCCTCCGTCGGGAGACATCAGTAAGTCTCCATTATGAGCGGAGCGTTTGGAGTAGCTTCAATTCATTGTGACTCGCAGTCACTATTGTCGTGATAGCGCGCCTAGCGTACAGGAAGGGGGTGGATCTACTGGTGGCAACCGCTCCCCGTATATGCGCCCAATTTCCCAATGTGCGCTTCCTCATCGGTGAAGAAGGTCCTCTGAATGACAGACGGAGCACCGCTTAACGTTCTGTCGGTCAGGTGGCGATGGTCCCAAAATGATAGACCTTCTCCAAATGCGGGAGAAACATTTCCTACAAGACCGCATCGAGATCCTGGGCCCCGTCCGACACAGCGACGTCCGCAATGTAAGCGCAAGATTTAGCGGTTAGGATACTTTATTCTGACCGCCCCCAAGGTGCTTGTGCAAGGGACGATCTTCATGAACACGTCGCTTACCGAAGCGTTCGGTATTGCCATCGTGGAGGCGGCCTGTGCGGGGCTATACGTCGTCTCCACTCGCGTCGGGGGAGTGCCCGAGATCTTGCCAGAAGACATGATCTCCTTCGCTAACCCGGACGAAGATGGTCAGTTTCCGTTGTCTTCTTTAATGCCGGCTCCTGACGCGTTTCGGTGCTCGAAGATGTCGTGCGCGCTATGGGAGAGGCGATTGAACTGGTTTCGGCCGGGAAGCACGATCCATTCCGTGCCCACGAGCGCATCAAGGGGTTCTATGATTGGAAGGAAATCACTCATCGAACCGAGTTGGTGTACGAGGCCGTCTTGAACTCCCCTCCAGACGACTTCTGGACGCGACTACACCGGTACGCACTCCACTGCGGTGTGCATTATTGATCCTCACTCCACCTCCAGGACACTTGACGTCGGTCCCTGCGCTGGGGTCATATATGCTATCATATTGCTCGTCGATTGTCTCTTCTTCATGTTTCTGGAGTGGTACCTTCCTGAGGATCAGCTAGACAAAGTCGAGATGCATTGGGAACCCGACCATTTCCAGGAGGTAAGCCCCGAGGTTGTACAACGTCGCCGACTGAGATCTTTATAGCATACCTGCAGGTTGTGGAGGAATACGAGCGCAGGACAGCCGCATCGTCGTAACTCCAGTTTGGGATCTTCAACCGAACTCGATACCACTCATTCCCCCCATACCCCCTAGCCATCGCCGCATGCTCCATCTCAATACCACACCATATCCCCTGCCACTTGCTCGCACCGCGTCGCATTGGCCAACTTGTGACTCGCCTGAGAGGCGTCCGGTCATCGGGCCGCGTTCCTGGGCGGCAAATACAGAAGATTTAGAGAAAACTCCATCAGCTCCTCCCTTCTGAGTTCTCCCTCTCCCTTGCTTTTTGCCACCATCCGACGCTATGGGTCTGTCGGAAGATGAGAAGACCAGCAGCATCTCCGATGATGTCGTTTCAACCACTCGATACCAACAATGGCTTGCCTCGACCACCGACTTTCTCTCCCACTGGGGTATCGAGACAAATGGGTTCGCGCCTGTCCTCATATCTCTTATCGTTCCGCAGCTGACTGTATACGACTGCGTGCCACCAGGATCAATCCCATATTGCCTGCAGATAGGACGGACACTAAGCTATATCAGATGTTTTTCGTATGGTTCTCTGCGAATATAAACATCTTGACGTGCGTGTCAGACCTCTGTCTGGCGCTTGCTCTCTGCTCAACCTGTCACAATCTACCAATGCTGTGTAACTGGGCGTATGTTTCTGTAGGTTCGGCACGGGCTCAGCGGGACCGGCCTTTTTCGGGCTCGGATTGCGGGACTCTTTCATCATCCTAGTCGCCGTGGACCTTATGTGCGTCCCACCACTTTGCGGGCCTGCACGTAGCTCAAGGTTTCACCCGCTAGCTCGTGTGCGATACCGGCGTATTTGTGAGGCACCCAGAACCTGCTCACCAGATGTATACATCAGCTCATGAGTTTGGCTCTATAGCGCAGTCTTTGGCCCTAAGCTCGGCATGCGTTCAATGGTTCTGGCGCGTTACTCGTGGGGGTAGGTTCATGACTGTCTCTTGTTCCGGTTTGGTATTCAGCTCTGTCAACTCCGGCAGATACTTCGGTTCTATACTTCCTAGCGCGTTCACGGTGTTCTCGATGCAGGGCTTCATGATCCTGAATTGTATCATTGGCGGACAAACATTCGCAAGTGTCTCGTCCCATCTAGATGACACTCTGGGGATCGTGATCATAGGAGTGCTATCTCTTGTCGTACGTACCCCGAAACGCTGACATCAAGCCACTCATGCGGAGTTCGCGCCCGTTAACAACGACTCATGTCTAGGTCACCTTCTTCGGATACCGCGTCATCCACTGGTACGCATCTTGTTACCGCCTCATCGCACATCGGTTCGTGACTGATGAAGTTACGGCCCCTCAGGTACGAGACGGTCGCATGGATCCCAAGCGTCATCACCTTCATAGTCATGCTCGGACTGGGCGGCAAACATCTCACCCAAGCACCCGTACCGCCATCGCCATCCGCCTCCGCTGTGCTCTCGTTCGCTACTACGACAGCGTCCAGCGTCATTAGTTGGTGCATGATGACGCCCGACTACGGCGTGTATCACACCAACAAGGCATCTGGGTGTGTAGCGCTGCTTCTCTATGGCACGCTAATGATTCACGGCTGCATGCAGGCTACGAATATTCTTGTACAGCTATGCCGGGTTCTTCATCGCAAGCGTGAGTCCGACTACGGCTCCGCGAACCTCCCATTGTGCTCATCGCTTTGTAGCTCGCATCACATATGCTCGGTGCGGCGTTCGCTGCAGCAGCGCCCGGCGTAGCCTCCTGGGAAACCGGGTTCGACGAGGGCAATAACGTCGGCGGGCTCATTCAAGCTGTCCTCTCGCCGTCCGGCGGGTTTGGCAAGTTCCTCACTGTGCTGCTCGCGCTCTCCGTCCCGAGCGCGTGTGCGCCGACGATGTACACGTTCGCGTCCAGCTTTATGACGATCCACGCGTGGTTCGCTCGAGTCCCGCGATACGTCTACTGTATCGTCTCGGAAGCCATGTACGTCTCCAACCGTACAAGTCGCTCGCTCTGTTACTGAGTCGCGCCTGTCAGTCTCATTCCAGTAGCAATTGTCGGAGCCACCCATTTCTATACCACGTTCGTAGATGTGCTCAGTGAGTACCTATTGTTGATGCACGCGCCTTCATACGAGTCCATTCTGACGACACCTACAGGCATCATCGGCTACTGGAGCACCGTCTTCGCCGCCATCGTCATAGCAGAACATCTCATCTTCCGCAAGAACGACTGGGCGCGCTACGACCTCTCGCAATACTGCAAGCCTTCGGAACTGCCGCTCGGCATCGCCGCCGTCCTCGCGTTCCTCTGCGCCTGTGGCATCATCGTCCCGTGCATGTCCCAGGCGTGGTACGTCGGGCCCATCGCGAACGCCGGGACGGGCGACATCGGCGTCATTGTCGGGTTCACGCTGGCGGCCATCTTGTACCCTGCGCTGAGAGCTGTCGAACGCGCGGTGTCCAAGAGATGAATGGGTATTGTGTTGATATAGGGCTATAGTTTGTACTTCGTATATCTCGCCTGGGAAGCCGCTTGTTTGGAGATAAGCCGCGGTGGAAGCAAATGGGTATATGCGTGCGAGATCCACTGGAAGCTCTGTCAGCCTGAGATCCATCAGGAGGGAGGAGGCCAGCACCCACTTCGCAGGCGCGGGGGCGTGTCTCCCTAGGGTCAAGGATTTCTTCCACTGCAAACGTACTCGCTGTCCGCAGCGGATCCCGCACGTCTTCAAACTTGGCCAGGAGTTCCTTCATCATCTTCTCCCGTGCAACAGGGTTTGGAGCACTATCGAGTTGCCGTTTGTACGCTGCCTCGACACCGCCCTCAAGCGGAAGGCTGCCCCAGTCACCTGACGGCCTATTGTGCTCGTGATGAGGGGATTGTGCAACGGCGACTGAGGTTTCACCACTACGCACCATGCTACACGAGTGTTGAGTCCATCGCCGGGGTCGGACAACGCACCCCCAGCTACGCCAAACGAACGTCGGATGATGACCGTG